CTCCCTGCTGAACAGGGAGACTGATGCAGGGCTCTATTCCAGAACTCTGGGATCATGACCTGAGCCAAAGGCAGATGCTTAACCAACTGACTCACCCATGTGCCCCTGGTTTTCTTTTTCAACATTCCGTTGGCTATTCAGGGTCTTTTCTTGTTCCATACTAATTTTAGGAATTATTTGTTCCAGCTTTGTGAAAAATTTTGGTGGTATTTTGATAGAGATTACATAGAATATGTAGATTGCTTTGGGTAACATAGATATTTTAACAATATTTGTTCTTCCAATCCATGAACATGGAATGTTTTTCCATTTCTTTATGTCTTCCTCAATTTCTTTCATAAGTGTTCTATAGTTTTCAAAGTACAGATCATTTACCTCTTTGGTTCAGTTTATTCCTAGGTATCTTATGGTTTTCTTGTGTAATTGTAAATGAGATCAATTCCTTAATTTTTCTTTCTTCTGTCTCATTGCTAGTAAATAGAAATGCAACTGACTTTTGTGCATTGATTTTATATCCTACCACTTTGCTGAATTCCTGTATGAGTTCTAGCAAATTTTGGTGCAGTTTCTTCGGGGTTTTCCACATAGAGTATCATGTCATCTGTGAAGAGTGACAATTTGACTTCTTCTTTGTTGATTTGGATGCCTTTTATTTTGTTGTTGTTGTTTTATGATTGCTGTGGCTAGGACTTCTAGTACTATGTTGAACAACAGTGGTGATAGTGGACATCCCTGCCATGTTCCTGACCTTAGTGGAAAAGCTCTCAATTTTTCTCCATTGAGAATTATATTTGCTGTGGGCTTTTCATATATGGCTTTTATGATATTGAGGTACGTTCCCTCTATCCCTACACTGTGGAGAGTTTTAATCAAGAAAGGATACTGTATTTTGTCAAATGCTTTTTCTGCATCTATTGAGAGGATCATATGGTTCTTGTCTTTTCTTTTATTAATGTGGTGTATGACATTGATTGATTTGCAGATGTTGAACCACCCTTGCAGCCAGGAATAAATCCCACTTGGTCATGGTGAATAATCCTTTTAATGTACTGTTGGGTCCTATTTGGCTTGTATTTTGGTGAGAATTTTTGTATCCGTGTTCATCAGGGATATTGGTCTGTTATTCTCCTTTAGGGTGGGGTCTTTATCTGGTTTGGGATCAAGGTAATGCTGGCCTCATAGAAGGAGTTTGGAAGTTTTCCTTCCATTTCTATTTTTTGAAACAGCTTCAGAAGAATAGGTATTAATTCTTCTTTATTTTTTAAAGATTTTTTTTATTTATTTGAGAGAGTGAGTAAATGAGACAGAGAGAGAGAGAGAGAGCACAGGAGCATGAGCTGGGGGAGGAGCAGAGTGAGAGGGAGAAGCAGGCTCCCCACCGAGCAGGGAGCCCAACATGGGGATGGTTCCCAGGACTCTGGGATCATTACCTGAGCCAAAGCCTGATGCTTAACTGACTGAGCTACCCAGGCACCCCAGTATTAATTCTTTAAATTTTTGGTAGAATTCCACTGGGAAGACTCTTGTTTGTTGGGAGAATTTTGATTACTGCTTCAATTTCTTTGCTGGTTATGGGTTGGTCCGGGGTTTCTATTTCTTCCTGTTTCAGTTTTGGTAGTTTATGTTTCTAGGAATGAATCCATTTCTTCCAGATTGCCTAATTTGTTGGCATATAGTTGTTCATAAAATGTTCTTAGAGTTGTTTGTATTTCTTTGATGATGGTTATGGTCGCTCCTCTTTCATTGATGATTTTATTAATTTGGGTCCTTTCTCTTTTCTTTTTGATAAGTCTGGCTAGGGGTTTATCAATCTTATTAATTCTTTCAAAGAACCAGCTCTTAGTTTCGTTGCTCTGTTCTACTGTTCTTTTGGTTTCTATTTCATTGATTTCTGCTCTACTCTTTATTATTTCCTCTTCTCCTGATGGATTTATGCTTTATTTGCTGTTCTTTCTCCAGCTCCTTTAGGTGTAAGATTAGATTGTGGGGGCGCCTGGGTGGCTCAGTCGTTAGGCGTCTGCCTTCGGCTTAGGTCATGATCCCAGGGTCCTGGGAACAAGCCCCGCATCGGGTTCCCTTCTCCGTGGGAGGCCTGCTTCTCCCTCTCCCACTCCCCTTGCTTGTGTTCCCTCTCTGGCTGTCTTTCTCTCTGTCAAATAAATAAAACCTTTAAAAAAAAAAAAAGGATTAGATTGTGTATTTGAGATTTTTTTTGTTTCTGGAGAAAGACTCGTATTGCTGTATACTTTCCTCTTAGGACTGCCTTTCCTGCATCTCAAAGATCCTGAACAGTTGTGCTTTCATATTAACTGGTTTCTATGAATTTTTTAAATTTTCACTGGTTTCTATGAATTTTTAAAATTTTTCTTCATTAATTTCTTTGTTGAGCCATTCATTCTTTTGTAGGATGCTCCTTAACCTCCATGTGTTTGTGTTCCTTCCAAATTTTCTCTTGTGATTGAGTTCAAGATTGAAAGCATTGTGGTCTGAAAAAATGAAAGGAGCAACCTTAATCTTTTGGTACCAGTTGAGACCTGATTAGTGAAGCAGTATGTGATCTATTCTGGAGAAGATTCCATTGTACTCAAGGAGAATGTGTATTCTGTGATTTTAAAGTGAAATGCTCTGAATATATCTGTGAAGTCCATCTGGTCCTGTGTGTCATTCAAAGCCATTGTTTCCTTGTTGATCTTCTACATAGATAATCTGTCCATTGCTGTGCCTAGGTTGTAAATTCCAATAATTATAAGATTATTGTATTATTATCGGTATGTTCTTTACATTTGTTATTAATTGGTTTATATAATTGGCTGCTCCCAAGTTAGGGGCATAAATATTTACAATTGTCAGAACTTCTTGTTGGATAGATGAAAAGGGTTAGTTTAACAAGGTTTGTTTCCAGATTCCTCTGGTACTACCTCTGGCTGGTAAGAGTTTGTCTCTGGAAAAGAATTTATTCCCTGCCTTTAGGCAAAAAAGGGAGAGCCTTTTCAGCATTTACTGATTCTTAACTACCTTTGGTGTGAAAAAAATTTTTTATGTCAAAGAGCCAAACCAGACTATGTCAGGTTTCCTTCAGCCTGAACAAGGAATATCTCCTCATTTATTTAGACTTTCTTTGATTTCTTTCATGAGAGATTTATAGTTTTCCTCATATTGATCTTGCCTATTCTTGAGTAGATTCATATGTAGATATTTCATTTTTCTTTGGTGCTAATGTAAGTTTTTTTTTTTCAGATTTAAATTGTTTATTGCTGGTATATAAGAAAGCAATTGATTTTTGTATATTAACCTTGTATCTTGCAATTTTGCTCTAAAAAGACATATTTTTATCCTATAGATAATTGAAGGCACTAAAAGCAAGAGTCTTCCACTATTCTATTTATGCTCAAGGAGTATTAATCTGGAAGTGATATGTAGAACAGATTGGAAGGAAAAGAGGCTAGAGGCAGGGACCCTGTCCATGTAAGAGGCTTTTCTGTGAGCCCTCCAGGAGACAGTAAGATTCTGAATAAGTATATTACAGCACTAATGGAAAAGTAAGAAAAGATTGAAGAAGGAAATACCCTAAATTGGCCCATCTCCTTCACACCTATGGATCTCTTTGTTACCAGACTCCAACTTGTCCATGCACCCAATGTGAAGTAAGCCGAATTCTGAGACACTGGATTTAAAGCAAGGAAAGCTTTATAGTCAAGGGGGCAACCCAAGGAGAAAGCAGGGGATCATTCCCAAAGTCGCCTTGCCCTGTTGATCTTAGGACAACTTATACACATGAAAGGAAGGTAAGGGTTTACTTGAACCTTGTTGGGAGATCCCTGAAGCAATGTGGAGGTAAGCATTCTTGTGGACAATGAGGCACTATTTGGGACCTGGGATCAGATACATCAAGACAAATGTTACTGTCTGATCCCCGTTGTTTCTACAATCAGTGGGTAAACAGGGAGTAGTAGTAAAGGCAAAATTAGTGTTTGATCATGCATGAAGTTAAGAGGTATAAAAAACAGGGATGCCTGGGTGACTCAGTCAGTTGAGCTTCTGACTCTTGGTTTCAGTTCAGGTCCTGATTTCATGGGTGGTAAGATTGAGCCCTAATCAGACTACATGCTTGGTGGGGAGTCTATCTGGGGATTCTCTCCCTTTGCCCCTCCACCCACTTGTGATCTCTCTTTCTCTTTCTCTCTTTCAATTAAATAAATAAATATTACAAAGAAAAATTAGTATATAAAACATAATTAAGTAGGGAACAACACAACTTAGACCTAAGTGTATAAGGCAATTAATACAACTATAGTTTTGCTTATGCTTTCAAAATGGGTCCAGGAACCAAGTGTCTGGCTTCCTCTTCACACAGTTCCCTCTTTCAGATGACTTTACCATCCTCTTCACCTAACTTCTTTTTTTTTTTTTAAAGATTTTATTTATTTATTTGACAGAGAGAGACAGCGAGAGCAGAAACACAAGCAGGGGGAGCGGGAGAGGGAGAAGCGGGCTTCCCACCGAGCAGGGAGCCCGATGTGGGACTCGATGTGGGACTCGATCCCAGGTCCCTGGGATCATGACCTGAGCCAAAGGCAGATGCTTAACGACTGAGCCACCCAGGCGCCCCTCTTCACCTAACTTCTAATTAATCCTCAAAATTCAGTTCAGGTGTTGTGGCCTTCTCTCTACCAGCTCCTCACAGCCCCCTGGGGTCTCCACCATAGCCAAAAGAGCTATTTACATTTGTAAATACAATGTATTTGTCTATGTATCTGACCATCTCTTTCATTAGATCATGAGCTCCTGAATCTAAGTAGCCTGGTATCTGGCCCAATTAACATACACATAAATGAATAATTCATTCAAGTCCGCTGTTGGAACTCACAACACTACCAGGTACATGACAACTATTATATCAAATTTCCATCATGTGTTTTCTCCTAAAGAATTGAAATCATAGAGCTTCAAAACACTGAAGTTTCAGATCAGGAAGGAAGCACTCAATCCGGATCAGGAAGTCATCACTTCCTCAAAACTTCTTTGAGTCACATACTATAAGTAGGTTTGCTCTTCCTGTACCTGCAGTGATACTGGCTTTAAACGGTGAGTTGGAGAGTGTGGGTCTCATCCACACTGTGCACAAGAAGTGCATCTTCCAAGCCCTAGGTTCCCTTTGCTCTTTCCAAGGGCTCGGAACCCTTCCCTGCTGCACGCAGGCTGCGCTGGCATACCTGGCAGAGGAACAGCAGACAAAAGCCTCTGAGCCTGGGACTAACCACGGCCTCTGATCTCAGCGGGAGCTCCAGCACGGAGACCTGGTAAGAGGAGAACCCCGGGGGCTGGGGAGAGTAGAGCCGTGAAGATGGCCAGAAGGTCCAGGTCACATAGATGGAGGAGAAATATTCCAGAAGGGAGGAGGGAAGAGACGAGGTTCTAGACCCATAAGTACAGGACAAAGAAAAGAATGGGATCTGCCAGTCAGAGGAAAAGTCATCTTACCTCACATTCCTCCTCCCTGGGCTTCAGGTCCTTCATAGAATGTGAGACTCAAGTCAGAAAGAAGATGGTTTAAAAAAAAATTCGACGAATGAAATCTTGAAAGGAGCAATAAAGATCTATATGGATGTGAATAATAATTTTGCTCTTATGGCTTCTACTACTGTCATTCTCTCACTTTCTTTCCTCTTCCTACACGGAAGAGATGATGCTGGATCTTCTGGGACTCTTTCCTCTCATCCTGTTGTTGCTGGGATCATGGGGGCCAGTGCATCCACTTGGTGCTTGGGCTCAACGCCCCACCAGGGCTCAATGGTTTGCAATTCAGCATATAAGTGCGGGTCCTGTCCAATGCAACAATGCAATGTCTGCTGTCAATATTTATAATCAGTGCTGTAAGCCTCAGAACAGCTTTCTGCAGGATTCCTTCCACAACGTGGCTGCTACCTGTCTTTTGCCCAACAGGATCTGTAGGAATGGCCAGAATAACTGCCACCAGAGTGCAAATACTATTAGAATGACTTACTGCTATCACACTGGAGGGACATATCCCAACTGCAGCTACACTACTACTCTCCAGAACCAGCTCTACACTGTTGCTTATACCGGTCCTCAGCCAGGTGACCCTCCCTATCCTCTGGTTCCTGTGCACTTAGATTAAGACTAAGGTTTCCATTACTTTCCCTCTCACTTGGTGTAGGTTCTCTTATGATCTCTTCTGGGTTTTTTTTTTTTTTTCCTTTATTAAATTTCCGTGGTTCCTGTAGAAGAAAGAAGGAGGGGAGTGGGAGAATTAGAGGGCCAAGATGCAATACCACAGTTGGGGACAAAAACAAACAGGATTCTTTTCTGCTTTGGATGTGTTTTGATGGAAGACAACAGGGAAGAGGGAAAAGAAAGACCCGGCCCCCTATTTTTAATCTTGGAACTTCTGCCAAGCTTTGTTGCATTGTGTTCACAGCAATAAAATCACTTTCTGTTGCATTGTAATGACCATGAGTGTGTGTCTTTGGGATGCCTCTCACATCATTGCCAGCCTGGGGCCATCTTGATTGCATTTGTCAACATTCTCAGGAGAACTCTGTGGGCCCTAAGTGACTTTTGAGGTTATTCAGCAACCCAAGGCTTCTTCTTCCACTTCCACCACCCCTGTGTCCCTGGGACTTGGAGCAAGAGTGTTCTCCATCCCTTCAAACTCTGCTCATGGCTTTTACATATTTCCCTTGAAATCACAGTCTATGTTTATTAGGAGGTGGCACAGATACCTCAAAGAGTGTCTGGAGTACTTTCACACACAGGTTCTAACTCTGACACTGGTGCATCCTACATCTTTACTATAGTTTCTGCATTTTATCAGATAATGTTTTTATTTTTGTTTTTTTGAAGATTCCACTTATTTATTTGACAGAGAGAGAGAGAACAAGATCATAAGCAGGTAGAGCAGAGGGAGAAGGAGTAGCAGGCTCCCCGCTGATCAGAGAGCCCAAAGTTGGTCTAGATTCCAGGACCCTAAGATCATGACCTGAGCAGAAGGTAGATGCTTAACCGACTGAGCTACCCAGGTGCCCCAGAAAATGTTCTAAATATAAGTAGGAGTAGAGATAATTATCCACTCTAATCTTAGAGTCAATTGTCCCATTATCTATAGGAATGAATGAAGAGAAAGCATAGATCAGAAAAAAAAAATCACTAGGGAATTAAAACATTCCTGCCTTACCTAATACTGAAATATCACAGAAGTAATGGTGTTTTGGCACAGGTAGTTGATTTAGACATTGAAGGACAGGGATTAAGAATTTGGCTGGCAGGTACCTGGATGTCTCAGTGGGTTAAACTATTAAGCCTCTGCCTTAAGCTTAGAAAATGAATTTGGGTCCTGTGTTCCAGACCAATGGAGATTCCCTGCTCAGAGGAGAACCAGCTTTTTCCTCTCCCTCTGCCCCTCTCCACCTATCCACTCCTGCATGTACTCTATCTCTGTCTCTCTCAAATAAATAAAATCTTGAAAAAATAAAAATAAAAATTTGTCTGGGATTAAGAATTTAGGTACTAGGTGTAGGAGAGGAAAAATAATTTTCCCTCTACCATTTTAGGTTCTTGGCTGAGAACCCCTCCCCCATTACAAAAAGGCAACTTCATAGGACAAAAACTATTTTATTTATTTATTTATTTTTAAAGATTTTACTTATTTATGTGACAGAGAGAGACAGCGAGAGAGGGAACACAAGCAGGGGGAGAGGGAGAGGGAGAAGCAGGCCCCCCGCCAAGCGGGGAGCTAGATGAAAAATCATTTATGAAATGATTTTTATCCTATAGATAATTGAAGACACTAAAAGCAAGAGTATTCTATTTATGCTCAAGGAGTATTAATCTGGAAGTGATATATAGAACAGATTGAAGGAAAAGAGGCTAGAGGCAGGGACCCTGTCCCTGTAGGAGACTTTTCTGTGAGCCCTCCAGGAGGCAATAAGAGTCCAAATAAATGTATGATAGCACCAATGAAAAAGTAAGAACAGATTCAAGAGGCAAATACCCTAAATTGGCCCATCTCCTTCACACCTATGGATCTCTTTGTTACCAGACTCCAACTTGTCCATGCACCCAATGTGAAGTAAGCCGAATTCTGAGACACTGGATTTAAAGCAAGGAAAGCTTTATAGTCAAGGAGGCAACCCAAGGAGAAAGCAGGGGCTCATTCCCAAAGCTGTTATGCCCTGTTGATCTTAGGGACAACTTATATACATGAAAGGAAGGTAAGGGGTTTCTTGAAACCTTGTTGGGGAGTCCTTGAAAGAATCTAGAGGTAAGCATTCTTGTGGACAATGAGGCATTATGTGAGCAATGGGATCAGATACATCAGGACAGTTGTTGCTGTTTGTTCCCCATGGGTTTCTACAATCAGTGGGTAAACAGGAAGTAGGAGTAAAAAAGCAAAGTTAATGACTGGTCATGCATGAGGTTAGTAAGTAAGTATATCAGGGACACCTGGGTGGGTCATTCTGTTGCACTTTGGACTCTTGGTTTCAGCTCAGGTCATAATCTCAGGGGTGGTGGGACTGAGACTTAATCAGGCTACATGCAGGGTGGGGACTCTACCAGGGGATTCTCTCCCTTTGCCCCAACACCCACTCCTGCTCTCTCTCTCTCTTTGTCTCTGTCAAATAAATAAATAAATCTTGCAAAGTAAAAAAGAGGTACATAAAAAATAATTAAGTAGCAAACATAATAACATAGACCAAAGTTAGTAATGCAACTAATACCACTCTAGTGTGCTTATGCTTTCAAAATGGATCCAGGAACGAATCGTCTGACTTTCTCTTCACACACATTTCCCTCTTTGGGATGACCTTACCATTCTCTTCATCTAACTTCCAATTAATCCTCAAAACTCAGTTCAGGTGTTGTGTCCTTCTCTCTACCAGCTCCTCACAGCCCCCTGGGGTCTCATCCACCACAGCCAAAAAAGCTATTTACAGTTCTTAATATACAATGTATTTGTCTATGTATCTGACCGTCTCTTTCATTAGATCATGAGCTTCTGGATCTGAGTAGCCCAGTATCTGGCCAAGGAACATACACATAAATGAGTAATTCATTCAAGTCTGCTGTTGCAACTCACAACACTATCAGGTACATGGTCAACTATTATATCAAATTTCCGTGGTGTGTTTTCTCCTAAAGAACTGAAATCTTAGAGCTTCAAAACACTAAAGCTTAAGATCAGGAAGGAAGCTCTCCACCTATATCAGGAAGTCGTCTCTTTCTCAGAACTTCTTTGAGGAAGTTATCACTTCCTTATTGTTGCTTTAAGTAGGTTTGCTCTTCCTGTACCTGCAGTGATACTGGCTTTAAACGGTGAGTTGGAGAGTGTGGGTCTCATCCACACTGTGCACAAGAAGTGCATCTTCCAAGCCCTAGGTTCCCTTTGCTCTTTCCTAGGGCTCGGAACCCTTCCCTGCTGCACGCAGGCTGCGCTGGCATACCTGGCAGAGGAACAGCAGACAAAAGCCTCTGAGCCTGGGACTAACCACGGCCTCTGATCTCAGTGGGAGCGCCAGCACGGAGACCTGGTAAGAGGAGAACCCGGGGGCTGGGGAGAGTAGAGCCGTGAAGATGGCCAGAAGGTCCAGGTCACATAGATGGAGGAGAAATATTCCAGAAGGGAGGAGGGAAGAGACGAGGTTCTAGACCCATAAGTACAGGACAAAGAAAAGAATGGGATCTGCCAGTCAGAGGAAAAGTCATCTTACCTCACATTCCTCCTCCCTGGGCTTCAGGTCCTTCACGGAATGTGAGACTCAAGTCAGAAAGAAGATGGTTTAAAAAAAAATTCGACGAATGAAATCTTGAAAGGAGCAATAAAGATCTATATGGATGTGAATAATAATTTTGCTCTTATGGCTTCTACTACTGTCATTCTCTCACTTTCTTTCCTCTTCCTATACAGAAGAGATGATGCTGGATCTTCTGGGACTCTTTCCTCTCATCCTGTTGCTGCTGGGATCATGGGGGCCAGTGCAACCACTTGGTGCTTGGCCTCCACGCCCCACCGGGGCTCAGAAGTTTGAAATATCACATATAAGATCAGGTCCTGTCCAATGCCACAAGGAAATGCCTCGTGTCAATAGTCTTAAAGGCAAATGTAAGGGTGAAAACACCTTTCTGCACGACTCCTTCCAGAGGGTGGCTGCTACCTGTCTTTTGCCCAACAGGATCTGCAGGAATGGCTGGAATAACTGCCATCAGAGTACAAATCCTATTGGCATGACTTACTGCTATCACACTGGAGGGACATATCCCAACTGCCGCTACAGTACCACTCCCCAGTACCAACTCTATACTGTTGCCTGTAACCCCCCTCAGCCAGGCGACCCTCCCTATCCTCTGGTTCCTGTGCACTTAGATTAAGACTAAGGTTTCTGTGACTTTCCCTATCACTTGGTGCAGGTTCTCTTATTCTTTTTCTTTCCTTTTGTTGATTTCCATGTTTCCCTTAGAGAAAGAAGGAGTGGGTGCCTGGGTTCCTCAGTGGGTTAAGTGTCTGCCTTCGACTGGGGTCATTGTCCCAGAGTTCTGGAATCCAGTCCCATGTCAGGTTCCCTTCTCGGTGGGGAGTTGTCTTCTTCCTCTGCTCCACACCCTGCTTGTGCTCTCTCTCATATAAATAAATAAATCTTTAAAAAAAGAAGAAAAAAGGAGGGGAGTTGGAGAATTACAGGGCCACGAGGCAATACCACAGTTGGGGACAAAAACAAACAGGATTCTTTTCTGCTTTGGAGCTTTGTGTGTTTCAATGGAAGGCAAAGGAAGAAGGCAAAGGAAGACCCAGGCCTCATATTTGAATCTTGGAACTTCTGCCAAGCTTTGTTGCATTGTGTTCACAGCAATAAAATCACTTTCTGTTGCATTGTAATGACCGTGAGTGTGTGTCTTTGGGATGCCTCTCACATCATTGCCAGCCTGGGGCCATCTTGATTGCATTTGTCAACATTCTCAGGAGAACTCTGTGGGCCCTAAGCGACTTTTGAGGTTATTCAGCAACCCAAGGCTTCTTCTGCCACTTCTGCCACCCCTGTGTCCCTGGGACTTGGAGCAAGAGTGTTCTCCATCCCTTCAAATTCTGCTCATGGCTTTTACATATTTCCCTTGAAATCACAGTCTATGTTTATTAGGAGGTGGCACAGATACCTCAAAGAGTGTCTGGAGTACTTTCACACACAGGTTCTAACTCTGACACTGGTGCATCCTACATCTTTACTATGGTTTCTGTATTTCATCAGATAATGTTTTAAATATAAGTAGTAGTAGTAGGGATAGTAATCCACTGTAGCCTTAGAGTTACTTCTCCCATGGTTTATTGGAATGCATGAAGACAAAGCATAGATGAAGGAAAAAAAAAAGCACTGGGGATATTGTAAATTTCTCCCTTTATGTCTGTTAATATTTACCTTATGTATTTACATCCTCCAATGTTGAATGTATAGATATTTACAATTGTTTAAAAAAAAAAAAAAGCACTGAGGTACTAAAAACCTTCCTGCCTTACCTAAATACTGAAATATCACAGAAGTAATGGGGTTTTCTAAGAGGTAGAAGATTTAGAAATTGAAAGACTAGGATTAAGAATTTGGCTGGGATTAAGAATTTAGGTCCTAATTGTAGGGGAGGAAAAATAATTTTCCCTCTACCATTTTAGGTTCTTGGCTGAGAGCCCCTCAACTTCATTGTATTCCTGCTCTCTCTGCCTCTCTCTCTGTCAAATAAATAAATAAAATCTTTTTTAAAAAGGCAACTTCATAGGACAAAAACTATTTTAATTACGTACATACATACGGGAACCCCACAAAAATATTAGACTTAAAAGCAACTAGCCAATTGAGTCTTATGGACCATTCTGACTATGGAAAGGATAGGGGTCTAGGTCTTTAAAAGGGGGGAAGACAATTCAGAGGAAGGTGAGAGGAGGCAATGTTTGGGAAAGGAAATTTGCCCTCCCATGCAGATGACTCTCTCAGATGAAAGTGATCCCTGTAATGGCTCACTTCCTGTTACAGCCTCCTTTCTAATGTAAATTTCCCCTACAAAAGGGTAACCTCCACTCTGCTTTCAGAATTTCTTCTGGTCAGCACTTTCTCAAAATAAACAGCTTAACATTATTCTTATGCCAAAAAGGCATATTTTAGGGTGGCATATTTTGCTAATCCTGCATACCTTTCCCTTTCCTTGTCAACTACTAGATTCATAGGGCTAGCAGGCCAGTGTAAGTCAAAGTGCTTTGTAGACTGATCTGTCTTTGAGTAGCAGCCAAACATAATGCCTATCAGAAAGGCCACCTACTGAAGTAGTTACTAGTGTGTCAATTATCTGCACTGCAGAATGGATCTTTCCAAACCGAGCGAGTCCTTTCACAGGTGGGCTACTTGGACTCATCTTCCTTCATGCCACATATTTATGTCATGTCCTAGAAACAAAGACGGAAATATGAAGTTTCAGGTTTCAGGAGCCTGGATTCCAAGTGTGCTAAATACTGAAGGCCCCTCTCAGTGGGAAGACATAAGAAGGCCAGGACAACTTGGCACTTGAGAAAGTTGGTACCCAGTAGGGGAATTTATCTGGTGGGACTTGAGTCCTCCAATTTAGAGCAGCTTTCAATAGTATTCATCTTTGGGGCACCTGGATGGCTCAGTCATTAAGCGTCTGCCTTGGCTCAGGTCATGATCCCAGATGGCATGCGTCAACCTGATCAGTAGTCACAATGGACTTATGTACTCTCTAAACATTACTTGGACATTTCAGGAGATTCTAGGACAAAGTAACCTAGTAAAAGGCTGAATTTCCTTTCATTAAACCACTCAATTACTCACTCTTTCTCAAGCACTACTCAATTATGGTTATTTATACATTAGGGAACTCATAGATTAAAGTAATTGTGGGAGGGAGTAAGAATGAGGATAACTTGGGGACAATCTTTTATGCTCAGAGGTCTTTGTTCTAAATTAATGGACCAGACCAAGTTGGCCTCTCTCTCCGATTTGTGTTACTCCTGCGTGCAATCATGCATTGTGGGAGAGTCAAGATGACTGACTAAATCAGATATTCATTTAGGTATATCCCTAAATCAGCTTCAATGACCTGACATTCTTTATAGAATGATCCAAAGTGGCAAAGCTTAGAAAGAAACTTAGCAAATGTTCCAGCAGTTCTCAACTCTGGTTTCATATGCAGATGACTCTCTCAGAATTTCATATGAAATGCACCTGGGAGCTTAAAAAAAAAAAATCAATGACAGGACCCCTGTGAGATAGGAGAAAATATATATTGATTTCTGCCTCTGATTCCTGGCACAGAGCTCCTGAAACCCTTGTAAATTCCTAAGTGATAAGAGCACTGGGAACATCTTTGTTCTTTGCAGCCACCTGGGTGGTCCCTGGATAGGGCTGATCACCAAAAGATGGAGCCATGATTAAAAGCTTGGCAATTTCAGCCTAACCCCCATCCTCGAGGGAGGGGAGAGGGACTGGATATGGAAGTAATAATTGATCCTGCCTGTATGAGGTAGCCTCACAAACACATTTATGATGGGGGAAACAAATACAAAAGAAAACTAAATTTCCTTACTACCTACAGCCCACTGACAAGTCCTTGACAGAGGAAGAGTGACATTCTTCTAGGAATACAGCTGCCTCGATGTTACTACTTGGCCAAGGGCAGAGGGCGATCTTAGCCTGAAACCCAGGATCCCGTAAGTCTACTATAATATACAAAAGTCATTTGGAGGGGCGCCTGGGTGGCTCAGTCTTTAAGCGTCTGCCTTCGGCTCAGGTCATGATCCCAGGGTCCTGGGATCAAGCCCTGCGTCGGGCTCCCTGCTCAGTGGGAAGCCTGCTTCTCCCCCTCCCACTCCCCCTGCTTGTGTTCCCTCTCTCGCTGTGTCTCCCTCTGTCAAATAAATAAATAAAATCTTTAAAAAATAAAAAAAAAAGTCATTTGGAAACCCCTTTATCTCTCCCCAACAGGATACGTGTTGGCAAACATCCCCCAAACTTACGGTCCACTGATATAAATCTGAAAGGTCTCGTGATTAAAGTTTTCCTAGAGAGTAATAAATGACCTTTTCCCAAAAATAGCTGATCCCCTCAAGGTCCTGGAAACCTTCCTTCCCAATTCTTTAGAGACTTATCCTATTCCTAACCCCCTCCCAACTTGAAAGTATATAATGGGCCCTCTTCATGACCCCAGTGTATCTCTATCTGCCCTCAGGTCCCGTCCCCCTGCTTTAATAAAGCCACCTTTTTGCACCAAAGACATCTCAAGAATTCTTTCTTGGCTGTTGGCTTCGAACCCTAAAATCTTTCCAGCATCAGCTACACTGGGAGGGTGATGCACCCCAACTCTACAGGTTCAGAAGCTCCTTCATTAGGGACCCTCTCAGACCTTACTCTAGCTATCTTTTTATCTGGCTGTTCATCTTTCTCCTTATCATATCCTTCCATAAACTCATAAAGCATAAGTGTTTCCTTGAGTTCTGTGAGCAGCTCTAGCAAATCATCGAATAAACAAGGGGGTGGTGGGAAGCTCAGATTTATAGCCAGGCAGTCAGAAGCACAGGAGACAAGTTGGACTTGGGATTGGCATCTGGACTGGGGGAGTCTTGTGGGACTGAGCCCTTATCCTGTGGGGGGGAGCTGACACTATCTCCAGGGAGGTAGTGTCAGAATTGAGTTAAATTGTAGAATATCCAGCCGGTGTGGCAGAGTAGTCTGCTGTAGGAACCTCCCCCACATACACATGTGGTGTCGGAAGTGTTGTGAGTGTGTTATCAGTATGACAGTAAAGGAGAGACACAGAAGTTGTCCCAACTCAATCCCATTAAATGAATTTTATGAACACTTAATAAACAACTAGATGAATTTATGAGGACGGGGCCTGGGCTTTATGGAATTTTTTTTTTAAAGGTCCCTGCCTGACTGTAATGGGCAGTCTGATTTAGGAACCACTGTCCACCCAGAGGTAGGACTACTGGGCAAGGAGGGATGGGAAGAGGAAGAGGGGAGGGGAAGAGAGAGACCACATATAGGTGAAATAGTTACCACAATAGCCAAACTATGCAAAGAGCCCAGATGTCCGTGGACAGGTGAATGTATAAAGAAGATGTGATATATATATACAATGGAATATTAGCCATCAAAAAAAGAAATCTTGGCATTTGCAACGATGTGGATGGAACTAGAGGGTATTATGCTAAGTGAAATAAGTCAATCAGAGAAAGACAATTATTATATGATTTCACTCATATGTGGAATTTAAGAAACAAAACAGAGGAGTATAGGGGAAAGGGGGGAAAAGAAAACAAGATGAACTCAGAGAGGGAAATAAACCATAAGAGACTCTTAACCATAGGAAACAAACTGAGGGTTGCTGGAGGAGTGGGGGGTGGGGTGATGGGATAACTAGATGATGAGCATTAAGGAGGGCAGGTGATGTGATGAACACTTGGTGTTATATACAACTGAACCCTACCTCTGAAACTAATAATACACTATATGTTAATTAATTGAATTTAAATAAAATAAATTTAAATTAAAAGAAATAAAATAAAATTTTGAGTTTTGAGATTTCTTTATGTGTTCTGGATACATATTTAAAAATCAGACATCTGACTTGCAAATATTCTCCTAGTTAGTAGCTTATCTACTCATTCTCCTGACACATCTTTTAATAAGTTCCCAATGGTGTTTATAGCTTTATTGACATAGAGCTGAAAGACAATACACTACATATATGTAAAGAATACAATCTGGTAAGTTTTGACATATGTGTATACTCATGAAACCACCACCATAATCAAGATCATAAAGGTATCCATCCTTCCCCCAAATTTTCTTCATACTACTTTAGAATCCCTCCCTCCCG